TAAATATTGAATCAGCTGATGAGTGACAACAGACAGACGGAGTCCGCGTTGATGGTTGATGGTTTTTGGTTATGGCGACAAGCAGTTCGGACGGTTCTTGTAACGCTCCTGCTGATTTTCATCTATCATCGGACTTAGAAGAAATTCCTAGTCGTATACCACTTAATTCATTAAAATGTCCACTCTGTCATAATACTCGACGAATTTTTTATTGTCGTTTTTGCGTTCAGAATGGAGATTTCGTCCATTCAACTTCTGTTTACACGGAACGGTATATATACACATTACTATCTTTTATCAAATATCTTATTTCTAATTATATTTTCTTCTTCCCATTCTTTTTTTTTCATAACAAATAAATTATATTTGTTTTTAAGCTTCAATTCTAGTATTACAATTATTGAAATAAGATACCAAAATTATTTTTTTTAATTTGTTTAACTATAAGATATATTAGTTGAATGCACTAATCTAGACTTTGTATACCAAATTAAAACAATATTTAAGGACCCGAATAATAGTATGGTTTAATAGTATATTATTTAGGTTTGCTGATAAGCAATTACGATTATATCGGTTAAAAACAGCCAGAGCTCAACTAGAAGAAAAATGTAAGAAGGCTCTTGAAAAACACAAGCAGAAAGATAAATTGGTATTTATTAAATATATGTTTTCATTTCATAAAATATAATAGATAAAATATTTCATGATTTCAATTATGCGTTTTCATTTCATTATTGCATATTACTATTCATTACATTTTTCTTTTTTCTTTTGCAGATATGTGATATCAATGTTTGTAAAGAAAGAATCAGACTTCTTCAACTTTTAGTTAGTGAAACCAGACAAAGCATTAGCAGAGGTACGTTCATTAAATAATCATATGTATTATGATTACATGTATAAATTTAATTTGAAATATTAATGCATTGTATATTAATTTTAATAATTGTTAGGTAATCAACGTTTAACTGTTTTGAAAGATGTGAATTCTCAGTTGGCATTAAGAATTCCCAGACATGAAGAAAGAATCGAAAGGTTACATAAATTGGCAACTACAATGTGTTTGAAACAAGAAAAACATAAAGAAGCGGTTGATCGACAGAGACAACAATTAAAGAAAGTTATTAGAATTGCAGCTAAACAATTGATTCAATACATATTTCCGCTCTCACAGGTGCAATCTAGTAAAAGGTAAACTTTATGTTAGAATTAGAGAATTTTTAACGATTATTATATGTATGTAAAATATTTCCAGTTTATGTAGTAGCGAAGAAGATGTAAATGCAGATGTGGTTACTTGTGCATTAGCAGATGCATCAGGAACATCGTATGTTAGAGGTAGATGGATTAATGATGCAGAAAATGCTTCAGAAGTACAACATCGTATAATAGCACCAACATTACCGGGTTCAGGCGATTACAGTGCTTATTCTTTATGGGGTAATTATTTTGGATATTAATTTATCCGTTAAATATTTATTAGAAGTTGTTGGCTATTTTTTTTTTTAATTTCTCTTTTAGTTGCTGCAAATAAAGATAGCGTGCCTGGTACTAATAAAGAACCATTGCACAATCCAGCATACAATATCAGTGCCGCTTTAACTTTTGCCACACAACTTGTTAATATCATAGCATACTATGTAAATGTTAAATTACCTTACAAACTTAGTTATGGGTAAGTGGTGAGCTATATATACTCGTATAATTTATTGGGGCTTATTTAATTGACTTACGATGATGCACATATATATATATATATATATATATATAATATATGTATGTATTTATATAGTTAAATATTATAACTAATACATTTTTAGAGAATTTTGTGGCAATGAAATGTCGGATCAGAAGTTTGCTAGAAAGGTAGCAAGACTTAACAGTAATGTTCTACATTTATGCTTTACACAAAATACAGATATTGCAGTTCTTCATCCAATGCACACTTTACAAAATCTAATGCACTTACTTAATACTGAAATCAGTGATCTTGGAAGGTACAATATATCTTTTCATATTAAAAACAAAAATATATAATTATTATTAATAACAATAAATATCTTCTTAAATAGGATCGGTCCAATGGAAGTTGATTCCAATGTAATAGCACAATTGTACAGTCAGTTAGTTCCTGACTTGGAGAACAGTGACGACTCTGCTTCTGATGAAGAAGAAGATGCTTTTAATTGGGAATGGGAAGCAGTAAGTCATGGTTATATTCGTAAACTTCATTTGACAAGCGAATAAATTTTCCATATTTTTCTTAAAGGTTCCAAATGTCGCATGTCCTGAAATGACAGTTCCCATTCCTGGATCCTTGGCTAATCAACAATCTTCTATGCAAGTGAATCAGAGCGTCGCTGGAGGCTTGGTTACGAGTGCTGCGGCCAGTATTGCTTCTATTTGGCGTGGTTGGACAACCAATAAATAGACTGCTTATTTTTTTTACCGATACAATTCTTTTTATACAGATTTTAATTAAATTTTTCAATATGTACGTACATATTGAAATATAACTATATATATAAACCTATATCTTTTAGGAATGCTTTAAAAAGTGTATGTCTTACGAAAATATCATTTATATTTTACATTAAATTTCTTTTTTTTCTGTTAAATACAATTTTTCATAATAGAAATAATCTTGTACAAATAATTTGTACATACAAATGGTCAGAAATCTTATACGATATTATTAAGGAATTTTATTTAACAATACTCTCTCTAATTATTTTACTATGTTAGAAACTACGCTATGATTGAAGTCTGAAGGGTTGTAAACATTTCTATTTCTATTTAAGAAATTCTAGATAAAGTTGACTACTGTTAAACGCCATCCGAAGTACGGCAAATAATGCGTACCGGATGGTGCAGTTGTCAGATGGAAATGGGACACGAAAAAAAAACAAAATATATATTTGACTTATTTTTTCGAATGCACAATGTACAGCAACATGTGTTGCTTTAATGGAATCCTCCATTCTCTGTTACAATACATTATAATCGTTTTTCTTATAATTTAATATCGCAACATACGTGAGTTTGCAACGACTGCCTTATTAGTGATTACTATTATTTTCTTAGTACTTTGTGGTGATTTTGTATTTCTTTAATATAAATTATTTAAGATTAATCATACTTCCGTTAATTAAATATTATATTAATTTATTTATAAAATAATAGATGAAGTCATATGATTAGTGTGTTATTATTGATTATGAATAATTTTAAGAGAAATATAAAATAATTCGTGTTCTCTTGAAATTAATGATTATTTTATAAACTTTATAAATTACTTAACATATTTATATCTTTTTCTTTTTTTATGGCACATTTATAGGCTAAATCCAATGTGCTCGTAAGAAAAAGTTGATAGCATTAACTAAATTAAACTAACTTATTCTTATACATTGTATTATTATTACAACCTTTATAGCATTCAATATAATGTATTGTATAAGTCGTTATTATGCATTATAAGAGTATACTAATTACTTGTTCGAAAATAGACAAAATCAAAAACATACAAATTTATCAAAAAATTGTCTGTGTGACTGCGAAGAATGTTATTGTAAATAAATCTTATTCACATAATTTATATTAATCTATTATTGATAAATTTGCTTTACGAAGATGTGCGCTTGTGTATGTGCAATTATTTAATTATTTAATGATATATTATTATCTAAATAAACTTAATATTCCATTTATAGTTTAAAACAGAATATATACGATATTATAAGAAATATAATAAAAATTAATAATTTTGCATCTAAATGCAATACGGTGATAAGAAATAATGTTATTTATATCTGAAAATTTAAACAAATTACTGAATGTAAAATTATTTTTGTTTATATTATGGTTTTAAAGTATCTAGAATTTCTTATTCAAATTGCGCGCGTAAAAAATACTAAAAATATTATGTTAGATATGGTTATAGCCGACACAACCTTATCTGACATTTTGCAAAGTTTCAAGTACATCTGTTGATTTTTAATATAAAAAATATTTTGAGAAAGAATGTGTTTGATTTTTTTTTTTTAATTAAATTTTTTGCGTTAATTCATTGAAAATATTAGAAAAAGCTTCTGGAGATTTTTCTATCTTGAAACTGCAAAGTTATGAGTGATACAAAATAAACAAAAATGATCGTGAACAGAACTAGGAGTTGTTTATCATCATAAACTTTGATAAAATATTTATTTTATTATTTATTAATTGCTGTTTCAAATCAGTATAGAATAAATTGTTAAATCAAATTGATATTATAAAATAATATATAGTTAAATTTATTGATAGATAATTTAATAGGTAGATTGGAAAAAGATATTAACATAATCTATTCTATTTAAGCAACTTAATTTTTATAATTTTGAAGCAAATGCGACAATTCTAAGAAACCTTTGAATACAAAACTGATGTATTATTGTAATAAATACAAATTAAATATTATAAAAATATATATATAATAATTTCGCAAGGTTTTTAGAATAACATTGTATTAAATTAAAATGTATTGTATGGATATTGCTAAGTGAAGATTTAACTATATTTGTACAAATATAGCACAAAATTGTATATATATACATTAATAAAAATATTTTTTTTATTTAACCTTTTTGATATTACTAGTGATTATAGTTATCCATTGATACTTAGCATCAGTTTGGAATTTAAAAAATTAAAATTTTTTAAATGCACTACATTATAATATCTGATCTCTTATCTATTTTATGATAAAATGTTAGTGTTATAACTGGCCCATACAGTAGAACTTTATTTGCTACGCTAGTAGCCATACAGTGAAAGCATACTTGTGAACGACAATAGTTTTATCGGTACAGTTAGAAAGACTAATAGGAAGAAGAATTATTGGAAGAAGTTATCAAATTTGAATGCTGAACTATTTATTTCTTCTTACTCAGAAATATTACTTCAGATGTATTAATAAAACAGTATATGTGATAATGATATAAAACATTAGCCAACTATAATTTCATTTTTATTACATAACATATTCATTTACATAATGTAATATTGTTGACATATGTATATTGCCTTATATGACACTTGTATAACATAAACTTTCTTTTTTCATTTTTATATTTTTTTTTTAATCAAGTATATCATGTATTGGACTGTGATTTTTATATTATAAAATAATATTTTATAAAATATCGCAATTGACTTTAGTCTGGATTCTTAAAGGACAAGTTTAACTGATTTATTAATTAGATCAACTTTAAAATTGGTCCCAAATCTCATAGCCAAGAAGATAAAATTATTGCAGAATGTATAATCGAATAAAAGTAAAAAAATATTAATAAAATTGAATTTGAATCTGTTCAATAAATACAAATGTTTTTATCAATACATATCATGATTTTTTCATTTTATCATTTTATCATGATATGATTGTAAAAAAATGCATTATCCAAAAAGAAAAACAAGAACATATTAAAAGATTATTAAAAGTTTATAATTTTTCATCATAAAAAAATAATTGCATGTAATATAATTAGTTATAACTAAATAAACGCATTTGAAGGAATAAGGTATAGTACATAACATATGAAAAAAAAAATAAAAGTATTATATATTAAAATGAAGTCTCATTGGACGTTAATAAGTCAACATTAAATTCAAAATCTAATTACTTATCGTTGGAACATTTAATAAAAAACAAAAAATAACTTCGAACGTGATTGAACATGATCTATCTTGTTTAAAAAATATAACTTATCTTCAAAGTATCTATCATATACGAAATACGTGTATGAACAGAGTTTGTATTTTATCTTCATTATATTGAAAAAAAACATCGCTCTTATCAAATAGATTATATATAAGTTTGAAATATAATAAGTATTAAAAGATATCAACGTATTACGTAATACAAACTAAGTTCTAAAATAATCTAAAAATTGATAAAGAAAATAAAATAAAAAAGCAATATTAGAATTCTTGGCTAAAGATAAGGTATTTTTGTACGGTTGATCTTAGAGTTATAAATTTGATATTAGCTATGGTAGTTATGATGTGTGATGACTTTGACGATAAATCATTATCATGAAATTATGTGTCTGTATCATTTATTGCCACCTTGCACAGTCTCTGCTCATGTAGCACTCCACTATGTTTCTTGTTGATGGACATTTCACTTTCACCACTATTGGACTGGGCCAGTCTATTGCATACCACATGTATCAAACTGTATACATACTCAGTACACTAACTGGACTGTGAATTCTGTAAGCACATCATTATATAGTATTTTAATTGTTGAATATACAACATACTTCGTATAAGCAATTTATGAAAAATAGAGTTAACGCATTTGTTAAATTTGTTTGTATATATATATATATATATATATATATATATATACACAATATATTTATACCTAAATAATCTCTATTAATAATATAATAAGTTTTTCTAATATCTTAACTTTGTAAAAATGAAAAATATTTACAAAACTTACTGTACCTCTTAAATCAATTTTTAAAGACATATACAAGTGTTTTTAATTCCAATTCCAATTTTTATAATTTTTTCTTTTTTTAACATCATACAGAGTGATTAATATAGCAATAAAGCTTAATAACATTCAATCATGCTAGTTAGTTTAGAAGAAAAAGCTTTTCAATGATGCTATGTTAATAAAAAATGATGTGCTTAAGTATTGTAAATATATATAGCTTCTCTATTTATATATAAAATAGAATATATATATATATATATCAATATTTCCTACGACTTATCTATCCACGATTATATAATGCACAAAGCAACTATATTTTTTCGAACATAAATTAATATATTTATAGCTAATTAATTAGAACCAGAACATTATAAAGAATAAAATATTAAATATTTGGGAAAAATAATCGTAATGAAAACTAATCGGATTATATAAATTTAATTGCTAAATATTAATGACCACATTGTTTCAAAAAAATAAATCCAAAAGTACTATTATTATAAAATGTTATGAATATTGATTGGAAACAATGATTAATAAATTACTAGTCTTTTATTGTTTACGAATATGTATACAGGGTGTCCGAGGTTTTTCCATCGAAACAATGTCAGCATATTCTATTCATATTTCTTATTTTTGTGCATAAAATACGCTGAAATACTGTTTGGCCAGAAAAACCTCAGACACCCGTGTATATTCAACCCGATCTTTATTAATATAGTCCTATCCTGAATAATATATGCTTTAGTTAGGCTATGAAAGAAAATAATATATTTTAATGAAATATAGAATTTTTATATGACAGTATTATAAAATGATCATAATCAATGTTAAATAATTACATTAATTGTACGCTAATTTGAAATGATTTGATTTCATTTCATTGATTTTATATGATATTAAAAACGTAACATTACAGAATAGGACTATAAAATAAAGAAAGCTTGACTCTGCAGAAAAAAAGAATTATAATTCACATTCAAGTTAAGATCAAAGATCTTGTTTATTTGAAACTACTTTTAAATGTTTGTACTATAGTAAATCATTTTTCTATTTATATATACAGTAATCTTTCCATTTATATGGACTCATTTTAACGTGCTTAAGCTACCAGAACTCAAATGTCACAAAGATGTGTTACATGAACATTGGGGATTCCCTAGTGTAATTTATTTCGTAATTGCATAAACTTATCTGCAATTGCATATGAATCTAAAGTTTAGAAATCAAATTTACAATAATCTAGTCATTAAAATAAGGTGAGAAAATGAATCATGCTGCTTGGTTGTATAATCTGAATGAATTCACAATTCACATAATTAAAAAAAATGCTGACGCTTTTTATTATTCCATTTACTCGTTGTTTTCATGGAACCAATTACTAGCATAAATGGAGAGATTACTATATACTTATATATATATTTATATATGTATATACATACACCCACAGAATCAACAATTTCATAATATTTTACATATAAATAGGATAGTTCAAATAATAAGACATTAATAAAAATTAAAATTTATATATATTTAAAGGATATTTTTTTTTGTAGATGCAAATAAAAAATAAAATGGTTTTTATATTTGTTTGTTCGTAATTCGTATTATTAACTTCACACAACTTATCTCATGAATTTTTTTGTTTTCCCAAAAAAATACTTTAAAATAATTTGTTTTTATTTATTTTTTTATTTTTAAAGAGAACTATATTGTGATCATGAAATATTATATATAAAAGCCAAAAAATTGGCAAAATTACATTTATCCAATTATTCACAGTTTATATGATTAATTCTATATAGAATATCATTGGTTAAAAAAAAATTAATGGCTTGAAAATATTATAATTATAAAGAAGATAAATGTTAAATCGTCAAAAATAAATGGCTAAAAATGTTTTATAACTGAGAGAGAGAGAGAGAGAGAGAGAGAGAGAGAGAGAGAGAGAGAGAAATATTATTCACTCCGACAGAATATAGTAATGCAAGTGCAAAAAATATTGCGTATATCACAAATAGATGATATATTAAATGTTTTCCCACAGTTATATTATCTGAAATAAGATAAATTCAAAGTATCAATTGTCTTCAAACTTAAGAATTTAGAATATTCACTTGTTTAGTAAAAATAGACCATCGTCCTACGATACTTGAAGTGTATATATATTGTACTTTAATAATATTATTTCAAAATAATCTATTCAATTCTTTAAATTTCAGAACAGCTTCTTATAATCGAAAATGGTACGTACTTTGGTACATCTATGCTACAGTTTTAAATTAATGGATAGCCTTGAAAATTAGTTTCCGTTTTGTTAAAAAATATTAAAAGTTTATATTAAAACGCAGTGGTTATGTATGATATTTTTATCGTTCGTATTAATCGAATACTTATTTGTAGTTTTCCAATTATACAAGTTTCATTTATAGCTTCTGTATGAATGAACATTATTGTGAATATATATATATATATTTTTTTTTTTTTAATGTTAAGTAATATTATTACAAACTCACATTACTTTTAATTTAATAACACATTTATATGCATTTATTTTCTAATGCATAAAGCATACAATGTAATGTATAATTGAAATTGAAATTAATTTAATCTATTGAGTGAATTTATTTATTTAGAGAAACTAAAATCAAGGCCATCGTGATCGCCACGACTCTACCACTTAAATTTTACAATTACCAGAATAAAATATGAATACACACTTTCATAGACATAACTTTATGTGCATATATACAGAGACAGTACTCCTAAATCTAGTGATCAGTTTTGCTACCCTTTTTGTTCTTTTTAATTCAAATATTCCAATAATATGAAATATATAATTAATAACAATATACATGCATATGGAACAGATTTTGATTAAAGAGTAGCAAACATCGATCGAGAAGTAAATATTTTGAGTGTGAATCCCTCTAGGGCTACAAAAATATATAAATATATATAGTTAATATTATGCATTTTTATATCAACGTAGAGCGAGAGGGTGTTACAGAAATACTCTACTAAGTTTATTAGGAAGGTAATAAAACTTTGGATTATAATAATACCAATGATTATACAATTTGATGATGATTATTATTATTAAAAAATAATATTATTTATTTTAAATGTTTCGAAAACAATGTATTTTAAGTGTCACACACAAATAAAACTATAAGAAAAGAATAGAAAACAAAAATACAAATAAAATTATTTTTAACGTAAAAATATTTTCTAACGAATATTTTTCACAATGATGCGTGTATAGAGATTCTTTAAATTTAATTTTTATCTTGCAATGATTTTTGTATGATTACGCGTTTTATTGATTGATTACTTCTTCGCGTTGTGTGATTTAAAGAATAAAATAAAAAGAAACAACGAAAAATATAATGTACACACGTGCATTTCTTAGTATAATATCTCTAGACCCTCTGCATATATAATATAACTGTAATATAAACATTTTCTTTTTCATTTCCTGGATAAAGAGAAATTTATAAAATCTAACAATAGATAGTGATAATTATTAAAATCAGCGATATTCCAATTATAATTAGAATCAGCTGTAGGACTTGTAATATGCATTCTTAGAACTTCATCTAAGAATGCGCAATGTAATAAGTTATTATTTCAATTTTTTTTTATTCATTTTATATCATACTCGTTTCTAAAGTTCCGTGTGTATTCCTTAAATAATTCAAGTTTATATATA